AGGCCCTATCTCCAAAATACAAAAACATGTCGAAGGGGAGATTGAGTGTAGGGCCTTGCATATGCTAAGCACATGCTCTACCACTGAGCTATCGCTAGCCCCTAGGCCTGTTTTTTTTTTTTTTCAGTGTTAAAACTTTGTAATATTGGTTCACACCAAAGTATTAAAACCTTATAATATCTGTTCACATTAATGAGTGTGTAAATTCTATAACAATGATAACATAAAATAATCTGAGAATCCCATTTGGACTAATTTAAGAAATACATAATATGTATTTATTTGTACTTAGTATAGCTGAAACTTACACTTTTATGCATAATTGTATATTTGTCTTTTTAATATAATTTTCTGTGCTACATTAGTACTTTACTAGAAACTCACCTTTTAAAGAAATGACTCAAGATGAGCAACCTCTGTCTTAAAATTATTTTTTAAGATGATTTCAGTAGTAGAGAACTGATTTCTATTGAAAATCCAGTTCTGTGCTCTTATTCTCCAAATATGAAGCTATGGATCTTTAGTTCTTTTATTTCAAATCCATCGATAAGCATAAGTGGTCTGTTAACAGGCCCTTTTTTCTTTCATTGCATTTATATCATTGACCTTTGCTTCAGAAAGCATTCAACAGTGTTTAATAGAGAGAGCCCATGAAAGGGGGAGTTGTAAAGCCTTTATTCTATAAAAGAAGTCACACAGGCAAGCTTTATGTTAGCTGAATGATTTAAATCCTATACATGCAGAAACTGGCCATGGGCCATGAGTAACATGAGGAAAAAGCACTTCTAGTACAGCCTCACAACCAAACTTGCCCACTCTGTTCTTTATATATTTTTAAAGAGAGAAAAGTACCTCCTTTCCCTGTTATTTTAAACTATCTGGGAAAGAATGAAGCATGGTATCTAGATTCAGTCAACAGCTTTATCATGATTCATTAGGTTACTCTTGATTTCTTTTTTAGTTAGCAATTAAAGAATAGATTTTTTAGGGAGAAAGATGCCTGCTTATATCAGTCTTTTGGTACCTGGAACAGAGTTATGAAGAGAAAATTCCTATGTAGGGAAAGCAACTATTTTGAGAATACTGGTTACATTATGGCTATGAGATATTAAGTGATTCTATATTCCAAAATAATTCTTTTTCTTGTAGATGGTGGATTAGGCAGACATCATCATCAGAAGTAACTGTCCTATTGTTTGTGAAATAATCTTATTTCTTAGAGGAAGGAGGAGCAAGCATGTTTTAACATTTAAAAAGCCTTGGAAATTGGCTAATGAAATGTTGTTAGCCTTTTTCTTTCTTTTTTTTTTTGGTACCAGGGATCAAATTCAGGACGTTGTGCTTGTGAAGTGGCAGAACCACTGAGCTTAATCCCTGGCCCTTGTTAGCCATTCTTTAATAGGTACATTATATTCTTTGTAATTTTCTGATAGTATAAAGGAACTTAATTTATTCCTTCTGGTTGAATCATGAGATATTTCTCAATTTCATATTTGATGAATGTAGATTTACTTTGTTAGGTCTTTTAGTTCATTCTGGGTAAGATATGCATATATGTGGTGTTTCTTTTCTGATTTGCAAAGTCACTCTTAAGAGATATGCATGGGGCTGAGGATTTATTTAGCTCAGTGAGTCTGCCGCCTGCCTTGCAAGCACAAAGTCCCAAGTTCAATACCTGGTATACCCCCCAAAAAGAGAGAGAGAGATGCATGGTACATTTCTGTTGCATTTTAAAACAATGCTCATCTTTTATATGTTCAATATGTTTAATTAAGCTTTAATTAACTTGAATATCAAAATATTTGGGCTTGTATCTTTGAAATACTTGGACTTTGTTGGGCAGCATCTGCTCTTCAAGGAGTAGGATTGCTTATCCTTTATTAGTGAAGAAAAGAGGGGCCCAGATTTATTCTGAACAATCTAGAAACAGTATCACTGAAGTCCGAACTGCATATATGGTGAATTATGATGCTTGGGACATAAAGAATGGTAATGGGAAAAGTTTAGTTTTTGTATAAATAAATATGACTCACCAGTTGTGGTTAGTAACTTTATCCTCTCTGAGTTCCTTCAATAGTAAAATGAAGATTAGGACTTCTACCTAGTAGAATTGCCTTATAGGTGAGAGAAAATATGTACTTATTGATACAGTCCTTTAATAAATGAGACTTATTGTTTTTATTATTATTATTAACATTGTCCTGTTCCTGCTTCCAGATGCCTTAATTTCCCATTTTCTTATTTATTTATATTTTCATTAGTACGTTTGTAGTACATAATGTTTACATTCCTTGTGTAGAATTGGTACGTGTACATAACACATCTTAATTCCATTTTCTGTCCTCTTCTCTTCTCTCCCCTCCCTCCATCTCTTGATTCTATTCCCATTTGAGAAAGATCTGTTGTCCTAGTTTCTATTACCTATCTTTTTTGCTCTTTATTTATATTTAGGTTTTCTCTTATAAGAGAAACCATGTGATATTTAAACTCATGTGTCTGATATTTTTCACTTAACATTATGATCTCAAGATACATCCATTTTCCTACAAATGACTGAAATTTATCTTGCTTTATGACAGAGTGGTACTCCATTGTGTATAAATGCCACATTTTTATCCCCCTACTTTTCTTCTCCTTTTTGTCACTTTTTGAGATATTATAGAGAACTAGAATAAGTGAAAGAGGTAAAATTCAACTTTAATTACTCAAAATAAAATTTTTGAGGTAAAATGTAAAGGCTCTCATTATTTAGCCCAGGGAATAATGAACAGAGGCACATCTCAAGTAGTCAAAAAATATATTTACTATAGTATATATACTATGTACTAAATATATACTACAAGTAGAACACACATAGTTAAAGGTTGTATCACTCCCATTCTGCAAACTTCAACCCAGAGTTCTACCAACTGTAAAATTTAAAAATTCCATTATAGATATATAAGTAAAGAAGGTAATAGGTGATTGCTTTAATTGATGTGTATAAGAATTAGTTTTAGATTGGGCTCATGAACTAAAATGAACAGCTCCACAAGGACTCATTATTAAGGGGCTGAATTTATAAGAAAAATTATGTTAAAAAGCTGTTTTACCTTAAATTGTCCCCCATACAGTAAGACTGGTGCCAAAATCTATTCAGGAGTGCAAAATTTAGAGGATGAGACTGAGCATATAAACAAGTCACAGGGCTAGGACTCAGTGGTAGAGCAATTCTCTAATATGCACAATTCCCTGGGATTCATCCCTAACTATGTGAGAAATATATGAAATAAATAAAGTTGAATATAATTTCATTGTGGTTAGTGAGGCCTAACTAGTCCAGCCCTAAGTTGTTGTGTGCTTTTTTCAGTATTTGTGTTGTCTTTCATCCCCCCCACCCCCCACCCTCAGCGTTTACTTCTCAAATTTAATTTGTGGTCTTTTCTGTTTGCTTGTTTTGTCTTTACAGTACTTGAACTTGAATACAGTGCCTTTGTATTGAGCTACATCCTTAGTTTTTTTTTTTTTTTTTTTTTTTTTTTTTTATGCGGGGCTTTTTTTTTTTTTTTTTTTTTTTTTAATTTTCTGAGGCAGGGTCTTCTTATGTTGCCCAGGTCTGATTCAAACTTTCCATCCTCTTGTCTCAACCTCATAAAGTGCCATTAGGACCTATAGGCATATGTTCCACCCCTGGCTTAGTTTGTGTATTTATTATTTGTCAAACATTCATTAAGTGCCTCCAAAAACTCAGCATAAACTTTCTGTAGATATCAAGATATCTAAAATATGGTCCCTGGATTAAGGAAACACATTTAGCAAAGTATATGATGTGAAAAAGATTATTATACTATGTAGTTCTTATAATTGTGATGGATCTTAAAAATAGAAAACTATGATATGGCCTTTGTTTCAGAACTTTTACAATCTTATTAGGAAAACAAAACTTACATATTAAAAGAATATAGAAAGAACAACACAAATCTGACAGAGAATATGAATTCAGGAAGCCAGAAGACCTCTGGACCAGATAGAACAAAGTTTCATGGAAAAAGAGCCTTGAAAGCAAAACAAAACAAAACAAAACAAAAAACAAAAAAACCCTTAGAGGTGAAGCAAAGGAAAGACATTATATTGGGAATAATCATAGGAAAAATAACAATACTAAGAAATATTTGAAAGAAAAAAATCAAAAGACATTGGTAATGTTTGGGGTATGAATGAGTGGTCATAAGAGTATAGAGTAGAGAGAGAGGGGAATGGAAAATGGCACCAAAGGTTTATTGGGAAGAAATGATATCATTGTTATAATGAATGTCTGAGGAGATAAAATATCTAAGTAGGAATAGATGGAGAACTAAATATAATATTCTTCTTTAGAGTTTTAGCCTTTTTCTTTTCTAGAATTTTTATATGGATTTGAGATCTTTATTTTGCCATATTTATCATTCCAATTTTAGTATGTGTGTTGCCGAAGCAAGCACTATTTTGCCATATTTAGCTTAGCTATCACAATTGATTTAAATATATCCTAGGCTCAACATAAGAAATAATATCAAGTTTTTAACATCTAAATGGATATGAGTTGGCTCATTCATTAAGATCTTGATCTTAATATTCTCCAGCCAGAAGCTTGGTGAGGGCTAGGTAGTATTTCTTCTTTTCTCCAGATTGGATTGGATGCTGATAAAATGGTGGTACAATTCAAGAAAGAAATATGATATGAGTTCTATGCCCTCATTCTAAATAAAAAAAAGGTTTCTAAGCATTGGGAACTTCTATTCTCCACAAATCTTTTATCATTTATTTTAAACTACCAAAGTACAGAGGATTAAATAGTTGCAAAGATTAGTAGTAGTGCCATGTTAGCTGAATTACATAGTCATGAAGCTTTTCAACTTCCTATTTAAATAAAAATCATTCATAGTTCTAGTAACTAGAATTTAGTTAAAACCATTTGCTACATTAGGATCATCTATAATTAAACTGATGCACTTTTGTTAACTTTTTGCTTTTGTTTGCAGTTCGGGGAATTGCCAGTGCAGAGTGGGTGTCACCGGCTCTACATGTAATCGATGCCAAGATGGATATTATGGTTTTAGTAAGAATGGTTGCTTGCCCTGCCAGTGTAATAATCGGTCAGCCAGTTGTGATGCTCTCACAGGTATGTTTTTCCTTAATTTTGTCAGTAATTGTTCTGTTGTTCTTTTCATTTTAGTCTTTTAGTATATGTCAGTTCTTCTCAAATAGTTATGAGAGTCTGGGTTCAATCCCTGGTACATGAATTATAAAGCATGTAGCAAAAATACAGTGGCAAGAATATAGCAAAAAAGACATGTGGAACACATCCAAAAGATCTAAAAATGTAACGGAAGACCCAGAAAGGGAGAAAAGAGATATTAGTTAAGAGCAATATATGAAGAGATGATGGCCAAGAATTTTCCAGACTGATGAAGGTCATTAACCTACAGGTTCAGAAAGCTCAGCAAGCCCCTGTCAACATCAAAACAAAGAAAACCACATTTAGGCAAATTTAAAAATAAAGACAATGAACTTCTTTCTAATCTTCAATTTTCCTGGATGTAAAATAGGAAATATTTCCTTGAAGATCTTTTTTTTGTCAAGCCCCAGAGTGGAAAAAAATAATCTATAATCTATTTGTGAAATGTATATCTGATAAGGGCTTATTTTTCCACCTAAAAACTGTTAAAGTCAGTGAAAGAAAACAAACAACCCAGGGCTGGGGATTTAGCTCAGTGGTTCCACTGCCTCTTGCCTTGCAAACACAAGGACCCAAGTTCGATCCCCGGTACCAAAAAAAAAAACAAAAAAAAAAAAAAACCCCACACAAAACCAGAATACCCTAGTTTCATAGGCACAAGTGTTTTTATGAGTGAAGAGTAGCAGAATAGTTGAAATTTAAAGTAATCTGAAAAAAAGAATCTGTGTTGAAAGCTTATTCTTCCTTCTAATCTACGCTCTAGTGAAGCATACATAGGGAAAATGATTTAGAATAAATTGTGGGGCTTTTCTCTTTCATATGATCTGGTCCCTGCCAACTTGCCAGTTATACCATGTGCTGTTTCTTTTTTACTGTCTGATCCAGGCACTTTTGTGCTTAATTTCTAAAGTAAGCTGTGTTCCTGTCTCAAGGTTTTCTTTCATGATCTTTCCTCTGTGTACACTGATCTTTCTAATCCATCTTTAGCCCAACCCCAGGCCCTTTATCTTTTTAAGTCATATTCTTCCTTTAGGTCTTCAGTTAAAAATCACTTCATTAGAAATGATTTCCTGATGATTAGAAATCATTTTCATGCCAAATGAAAATTGCTGTGATCTCATATCCACTTGTAGTTTTTCATGTCACCTACCATAGTTATTAATTGTATGTATTTGTGGATATGAGTCACACATGGCTGACTCACTGCATCTTAAGTTCCACGAGAGCAGGAACAATATCAGTTTTGTTTATCAATGTATATCCGATCTCTGACATGAATTTTGACAAAAGTAAATATGCACTGAATGTTTGTTGAATAGTGAACAAAAAACATGCAGAAGAAAGGTGACATTTGATACTGGGAAATGATAGGAATGCTTCATCATACTGAATAAATTTCAGTAGCTCCCTAGATCCTTTATAGTACTAGAAAGCTGTGGATATTGCTGATTCTTGGTTTTATTTTTTCTTGTATCGATAAAGTACTTCTTCTTACTGTTAAGTAAATGCCAGCCTATGCTTGCTCTGGAGATAATTCAAGACAAAAAGAAATCCTTTTCATTGTTTTGACTTCTCAAAGCAGCTAGTAATATGAGAAACAAATGGCTTCTGTGTTTGGAAATATAATAAAAGTAGAACCCAACATGAAGGAGTGCAAATACTTAATTTAAAACTCAAGTCTTATGTAAAATCAGTCTTTCCATTTTCCCAAATGAGATTTTTTTTTCCCCAACAATGCTGTGATACGGTTGCCCTCTGGTGGTCACTCATGGGCCTTATTTTCCCCTTTCTAGCCTTATTCTGTTAAAACTTCTTTTTTTTTTTTAAATTTTTTTTTTTTTTTTTTTTTTTTTTTTTTTTGGTACCAGGGATCAAACTCCAGTCCTTGTGCTTGCAAGGCAGGCAGCAGAGCCACTGAGCTAAATCCCCAGCCTTTTTTTTTTTCTTTTAAATTGAAGTTGACTTTCAAAGTATTCTATTTTCAATAAAACATGTTGGGGAAAATATTATGGAAAGTAATTTGATGGTAAACTTTAGTAACTGGTATCATTCACCCCATTGCTGAGTTCCAAAGCCTAGGAGTTCTACCAGAAGTCCTAGAAAATGCTCCTTTGATCCAGCTATTCTGTTTTCAGGAATCTATTCTGAGAGTACTGTTCCTAGTAAATTGTGAAGATTAAATGTAATACATTTGTGCAGCTCTAATAGAGTGCCTGGCTCATCATACAGTCAGTAAATGATAACTGTTAATATGATGCCATTAATTTTTATTTTTAAAATTAATTAATTAATTGTACTGGGGATTGAATCCAGGGCCTTGCACATGTTAAGTTAGCATTCTGCCACTGAGCTACATCCCCGGTCCCATTAAAATGTTGTAAAGAATGATGTAAAACTACATGAGAGGATGAAAGAAACAGGGCATAAAATGACATGCACCACACAACTGGACTGTTTAAATACCAAAACCCAAACCTCTATAAATAAGGAAAGATTTCAAAGAAGCATTTTCAAAATCTTAATGAGAGATTTCTTTGGATAATTTTCTTTCTCTTCTGTGTGTGTGTGTGTGTGTGTGTGTTTTCTTTATTGAGTACATTTTCCTGAAGTAGAAATGGACTAGAACTAGAACTTCATGGTTATAGGGTATATTTCTTTTTAAGAATTCAAGGCACCTTCATGTATTCATAGTGTCCCATATAAGTAATTTGACCATGGCAGCTTGACTAAATTGACCGCTTCTTTGCTCCTTAATGACATTTTTCACTTTGGGAAAACATACTTTCCTGATTTTTTGTCTACTTAACTATCTTTCCCTCCTTGGTCAGCTCTCCTGGATCTTCCTCAGCTCTGCTGTAAGCACTGACATGCTGAAAGCTCAGAGTTTGACAGGTTTGCCTTCTCCATTTATATTGCCCCCTACCTAGGTGGTCTCATTCAGTCCCCTACATTTAATTTAAGTGCTTTAGATTCACATTTCTCCCTTAATTCCTACAAATATCTAGCAGACCCCTTCATTTGAATGCTCTAATTGGTCTTATAAACCTAGTGTATCAGAAATAGCTATTTTACCCTAAAAGCTAAGCCTACTCTACCCCTAGTGTCCTTCATTTTAGTAACTAGTGTCATTCACCCCACTGCTGAATTCCAAATCTTAGGAGTTCTATTTTATTTCTCTATCTTACTGTAAATATCCAGCCCATTAGCAAGTTCTGTTAGCTTCAGAATAAATCTTGAATCTGACTTTGTTCATGACCTTTGTTACATTGTCCTTGTCCAAGCCACACCATCTCCTTGAACTACTCGGACACTCTCTATCTGGCCTTTCTTGCCTCCTGTCTGTTTCTGTATTCCCTGACTCCACCCCATCACAGTTCAGTTTCAACATAACTAGCATGATCTTTTAAGATGTAAAACCAGATCATGACATCCCATGATCTCGCCTCCCATCACTCTTGGAATAAAACTCAAACTTCTTTTCATTGCCTATGTGATTTTATATGTTTTTGACCCGTCTTTTTATCTCCTGTTTCTCTCTCCCTTATTCAACTACAGTCCATTCCAGTCTTCTTTCTGGTTGACAGATCTAAGTTTACCTTCTGTCCTATAGAAAGAATCAGATCTTTCTTCCTATGACATAGTACACTGCTGACAGGATTATATATAAACTTTGAGATGGCAAAATAAGAAATAAGGAAAAGCCTTTTACAGGTGATAAGTTATGTTCTCAACATTTTGCCCTTGAATTTGTTTGGAAAGGAGCCCTACATTCCTTCCTTTGACCAGTTATTTTCTTGGTTACCCCTACCAGATTTTTGAGACACTTAGCCAAGGAGTATGAAATCATTTCAGGAAACACTCATTGTTATTCCTCCTTCTTGTTCCTCCTTTTTGTTTTTGTTTATTTTTTTGGTGATCTACTCTTTTTTTTTTTTTTTTTTGTACCAGGGATTGAACTCAGGTCCTTGTGCTTGCAAGGCAGGCCACCGAACCCCAGAGCTAAATCCCTGGCCCTTGGTGATCTACTATTTAACCATCTTTCAGCAGAGAATGTGATATTTAGATGTTATTATTAAATTTCCATGGGGGGGCCATGCAGAACATAATGAACAACATTAAACTGCAGCTAATTTTATGTCATTTATTATAAAAGAAAACTCCTCAAAACTAGATTTAAAAGGGATTTAGAGCTCATCTAGTTTAGCTTTCTTAATTTATGCATGAGTAAAATAAGGCATAAAGAGTAAACATTATATTCTATGGAATAGTCTTTTACCCTTTGAAATAGTCACATTACATTAAATCATTTCCCCCAAAACTATTTTCCCATTTTATAGATTGGAAAAGTGAAACTCAGAGAAGTTATTTGCTTAAAATCACATAGCTGGTGAGAGGATCAGCTGGGAACAGAACTCAGATCTAATGTTCAGCCTCATACCATGTTCCTTATGCTACAGTGCCTCTTGGAGAAATTATAAGCTATTAGAAAAGCTAAAAAGGAGATGAGAAACGATCTTTTTTTCTTTTTTAAAAAGTAGAACTTTAGTTCATATTAGAAAAGTGAATTTATATTAGTTCCTACTATATATAGATTTATTTTTCTACATGAAATTTTAAAAAATTGCTTGAAGTTTTGAAATATTTTACAATATACATTTGGTTAGCTTTTTGTTGTAACAAAATACCTGAGATAATCAACTTGCACGGGGGAAGAGTCTTTGTTTGTTTGGTTTTGGTACCAGGGATCATACTCAGGACCTTGCATTTGTGAAGCAGGTGGAGGAACCACCGAGCTAAATCCCTACCCCCACCTTTTGAGTTAAGATCTGGCTATGCAGTCCAGGCTGGCCTTAAACTATCAGTTATCTTCCTGTTTCATCCTCCCAAGTGCTGGGATTACAGGTGTGCCCCACTGCATCCAGCTCTGAGAGATTTATTCTGGCTCACAGTTTTAGACATTTCAGTGCATGGTCACTTGACCCTGTCATTTCAGCCCTGTGCTAAGGCAGAACATCATGAAAGGGTGTGCATGGCATTGTAAAAGCTGCTTACCTCATGGTGACCAAGAAGGGGAGAGGTGAAGGGAAGGAGCTGGAGTCCCAGTGTACCCCTTAAGGGCACACCCCCAGTGACCCACTTCTTCCGAGTAGGTCCTGCCTCCTAGTGTTTCTACCATTTCCCAATGACATTATGAGCCGGGACCACACCTTCAATACCTGAATTTTTGGGGGACAGTTAAGATCAAACCATAATGACATGTAATGTAATTTTAATGTATTAATTTTATAATGAGAAAAAGATCATGATCATAAACATAAGTGATGCATATATACTAGAAATAATTAAAAAATCAGAGAGGAGAAAAACAGTGAAAGGACTATTGCCCTTCACAACAGTTATTACCATTGTGACATATTGATATCTGATCTTCTTTATTAACATTCTTTTTCTATAGCTGTATTCCAGGTGCATACTATCTTTAAAGCAAGTGAAAGGTAATGAGTATTTAAGAACTGATGAGTTTTATTCTTACATTTGCTTTCATTTTTACTTTTAAGAGCATACTTACTCTGCAAATTTTGGTGGTGTTTGTTTGCTTTACTGACTTGTCATTATAAAGTATGCAGAAAACAAATTGGAATAAGAAGTTCTTCTGGAAAAAATTTAAAGTATGCTCATATAAATAGTTTAAGAGAATGAAATTATATTGTGATAATCTCAAAGGCCTAGGATCTTACCTAGGATCTTAAAAGCCCCAAAAGATTAAGCATGTAGGTTCATTATAAGAAATAAAGTATTGGGCTTGGGATTTAGCTCAGTGGTTCCACCGCCTGCCTCACAAGCACAAGGACCCAAGTTCAATCCCCGGTACTAAATAAAATAAAATAAAATAAAGTATTAAAATATGTGCATATTACCATTTTTAAATAAGGGGACCAACATGACCTTTTCTTCTCAAATCATGTATAAAGGGCTTATTATTGGAACCTATCTTACTTACATTAGACATCCAAAATCTTTTTCTGGGATGTTTACCTTTTTTGAGATATTTTTCTATTAAATTTTAGAATTTTATCAGAACCTTTTCTCTTAAAAATTACTTCCATCAAACACTTTAATAGAGGGAGAGCAGTTAGAGTTTGCACATAACACAAGTTTTGACTTTTCTTAAATTTAAGATTGTTTTATTTTTAGAGCCAAAATCCATTTTCCCAAGATGTATTTTTCAGCTTTTTTTTTTTTTTAACTGTCACAAGTACATAGCAGGGCCCAGAATTTAGCTCAGTGTTTCTGCCACCTACATAGCTAAAGGATCAGGATATAAGAAGATGTGGGAAAAACAGTTGCTAAAGTGTTCGATGTTATATGAATATATACCATTTTATTATATATGTGAAAAATATTAACACTACCAAGTATTAAAGATTGTATGTTTACAGTGGTGATATTCGCATGAAAGATTAGTTTAAATAAGTGATATGTCCTGAAAACAAACTTTTAGTGATTTGAAGTAAGTTCATGAAATTTTGGGAAATTCTGTGTAATCACCTAAACAATTAATATTTTTTCATTAAGTTTATTGGACTTTTTAGATATGCAGTACAGTTACAGTCATCATTGGGATCTGGTACCTTTGCATGATGTATCTTTGTTCTTATTTTTCCCCATTCCTTTGCCCTCCCTTCACCCCCTCCACCCTTCCCTATTTACAAAGACTTTTTTCCATTTTTTCCTTTTCTCACATTTTTTCTTCTCCCTTCTTTCCTTTCCTCTACCCTTCCCACTTCCCCTACTCCCTTATCCTGTTTCTTCCTATTTCACATTATGAATTATACAGTTTGATCCTTATTTACACCTTTAGTTTAAAAAATTAAGATTTTAACACGTGTTCATATTTTTTGCTTGTTTTTTCAAATCTTGCTCCAATTGTTATCTAATAGCCTCATTCTCCCTTAATTTTGTAATAGTATTTCTAGATTTCCCCCCAAAAGAAGGAATGTGAAATGCACTACATATCTTAGTTTCTGTTTTCACTTGATCTTAGCCAAAAGGCGAGAAGCGATATTTTCTGTTTTCAGATGTTAAGCTTCTTCAGTGTCTATAGAACATCCTTATTAACAGAGTCTCAAAGGAATTAGTACTATAAAATAAAGTTTTGCTTGCCTACTTCCTTTTCATTTTCTTTATTAATTAGTTGTTTTATTTTATTTTGAAATTTTAAATATAAAAATTGATCAAGACTAATACAATGAATATCCATATACTCACACTCAAAAATAATAAATATTAACATTTTGCATTTTGATTTATATATATATAT